ATGAGACTCAATCGATTGCAGTTTTAATCATTCGTGATCGTGCGTTAAGAAACGTTGAAATTTCGTTTTGTAAATTTCTATCGGAATATTATTTGTTTAACAAGCATTACCTTGTTTGTTTTTTTTTAAATCAAAATAAAATTAATGGAACATGATTTACATAATTAATAAAAGAAAATGAATTATCGATTGCAAAAATCAAAATAGTGAGTCGAACAATATTGAGCTCTTGTCAAACAGCGTGATTTTTTTTCTCATTGTTGTTGATTACGTTGATTGATCATTTTAGAGAAATATTCTAAAAACAATACAAAGAAATAGACATTTTTAGAAATAAGTGTTAAATAAACAATTTTCAATGCATAAATAAATATTTATTTGGCTAATGTACATTTACATGGTACGACGGCATGATTGTGGGGGTTGGATTATCAGTGTTTATCTCTTGAGCTTTCTTATTATAATTTTTATAATTTCTGAAAAAAATGATTTCTACAATACTAGGGGTTATTAAAAAGTCCGTGGACTGAAGCTTAAGTTAGTACTACTGGGGAGGGGTATGCAGTCTGTGCTTTAAAATTTTTATGGGACATAAAACAACAACAACAAAAAAATAAAGAAATGTTAAAAAATTTAGCTTGATACATTCAATATTTGCCAAATTACGAAATTATGAAATAATAACGACATTAGATGATCACCCGGCGTTGTCACCATTTAGTTTTATGATGTCCGACAAGGTAAATGTTTTTCAACGTCTGATTCTTTTACCCCATACACTTTTGATGAAATTGTCTGGAGCTGAGTAAGGACTTAATCCCGCCTTGTTTATATGACTTTACAATGTTTTGAACAGTGGTTTGTAATGAATTTAATATTTCAAATGGATTTAAACAATGTGTGAGATCCTCACTTGATTGTGCAAGCATATTTTGCGTTTGGGAATTTAATATCTACAACACATGATTAAGGTCTTTTTTTGACGTGATTGATTTTTCACACCTTTACTACATGTACAAATCAACATTACCTATGCATTCCTTTTCTCTCTGAATCTATTTTGACATTAGAAGATAAGTCCTCTGGATGCATGTTATTTCTCTGTAGACAGTTTAGACATTTCTTAGGTCTATACCGGTATTTTCAGGAGCTAAACTTTATAAAATGTTGGAAAGTGAACAACTCCCCCTTTTGACGTCATTTTCAGGACCTTTTTTTTGGACACCCCATACGAAATTTACGATAAAATTTCATAGAACATCCACAATGAAGTAAAAAATTTATATTTTATGGAACAATTGTGTCCCAACACATACCTGAATTAACGGGATATTTGGGTGTCAAATGTTCATAACAAAAGAGTTTTTCTTAGTTACACTTAGGCCGCTAAAACGTTGTGTTGGAGATTGCGCAGCCTGGCCATACCATAGCTAACAAAAACATTACTAATTTATCTTTTTAAAAAATGAAAACTCTAATTTATTATTTATTCAGATGATGCTAACTAGATATTTTTAATTCATTGATGTACCTAAAGTGGTTTAAATTTTATGGCAGTAGTCCAAGAATTTTTTGATAAACCCCTCGGAAATGTTGATTTTTGAGATTTACAAATGGAAACTTGGATTTGACTTATAGTTCATTTTCAAATCTGGCTCATTTAAAAAAAAATGTCTTATCCCTCCTTTATCGCAGCATTTTATGAAATCCAATTTAACCAAAGTTTATGGTGCATCTTCATTAACATCTTCGTATTAAACAAAAAGAAGGTATTTTTAACTCAAAGACATACGTAAATATTTATTTGTAATTTAGATTAATCAATAACTCTTTCATGTTTTAGTTCAAGAAATATCAATATCACCGAGTATTTATTTTTGTCGGTCATATTATATCAATCATTATTTGAAGTCTAAAATAAGCACAATAAATCATTATTCGAAATCAAAAATAATCATTAAGACTAAGTTGGTTTTTAAAACATACATTCCTAAATATTTTGTACTATTATGCGTGAAGAATCGTGCTTTTGCGTTAGCAATCGTGTGAGATCGTGTAACGTGTAGAATCGTGTGCGCAAAGAATCGTTCGTGTATTAGGTTTTATCGTGCGTTAATCGTTCGGAATCGTTCGTGTAACGTGATCGTTCTTGTAGGTTGTCAACAATAACTTTGCAGTCTTTAATTGCATGACTGTGGGGAAGTGGGTTTCAAAAAGCTCATAATTTTAGGTCCTCGTATTTTTTTGCACTAAGGGCAAAATTTTGTTGAATGACTCTCATATTCATGGAAATTGTGCTTGATAAATATAATTAATGTTGGTTTTTTTGTGCGATTGGTTTACATACACCACGCATTCTCAAATTATAGTCTCAAATCGCTTTAAATAATGTACCGTGTTATAAGTAATTAATAATATTTATAATAAATTTTATTTTCTGCCAGTCATATGGACCATCGTTGGTTGTTGATTAAAATACAACAATTGTTTGTTGTAACTTAAATGACTGTCTTAGGCGAAAATCGCATTTAATAGCAGAAATCGATATTTACGTTACTGTCGCCAATCATAGCTTATTTTTTATTTTAAACCAAAAAGAAGTTTTAAAAGAAGTATTAAAAGAAGTTTTAAATCACTTACATATCTTTATCTTTGTAAGATTGTCTTACATTTGAGTTATATTTTCTGAATATCACACCCTTCACACATATGTGTGTAACAAATTTTAAAAATTTTAATATATTTATCAAATCTTGATGTCACCGCAAAATTAATACTTTTCTATTTGGAAACTCAAATGGACTTGAAGGATTGCTGAACTGACTCAATAAGATTAAGTTGTACCTTTTTAACATCATGAACGCCTGTTTCATTGCATGGAATGGTATTTATAAAAAAAAACCCCTTTTCTCACGAGTCCAATGATTAAAAAATTCATCGATATTTACGTGTTAGTATTTATTCACAAATTAAGTAAGATAACTACACTGTTTCCTATGGGTCATATTGCCTTACACTTAAAAGCACTAGAATATGTCTTTAATTAACATTGGAATAATTAAACAGCATTAAAAGTTACGATAAATCTCAGAAAGATATTTACGTTACCGATGTTTACGTTACCAATATTTACGTTACCATGTTTTAAAGTCATTTAGAATTAAATTATAAAGCTGTTTGAACAGATTTGCGAGTGAATCTTAATGAATTAAAACTAAAAACATGAAGAAATAACACTTTTTCTTAAAATGACTTTTTTTCTGTAACAAGTGTGCAGAAATGCAAATGGAAGTGCACATGCAAATGTGAACATATTTTACACAATATCTTGTGCATCCGTGTGATTTGAAAATTGAATTGACATAATATTATTCACAAGTAGAATTGTGGTTTAATGATCGAATGCTTTCATTTTGAGCAATTGGTTAATATTGCATAGTTTTAAGTGTAATGCACGTTATCATTCGGAACGTAAATCTAGCTGAAACAAAACTATCTTAAAGTTTGTATTTTGTTGTTTGTTTGAACTGATAGTGTTTCGTCAACTGAAAAAATCGTTATATACACCTAAATTGTATACCAAGCTAAACATTTTGGAGAAGAAAATATCATTTTTCGTAGGAATAATAATTCTAAAAATAGACACTGCGCTGCATGTATGGGGGGATTGTCTTCCACATCGCGTTAAAGAAAAAAGAGGGCTGTGGGTGTTGGGTGCCAAGACACTGGTCGAAATTGAATCCATTTCCATTTTTGTTGCTTTGCAAGAAATACATGACTGTATGAAATTGTGCACCTAATTTTTCCCATTTAAATTGTTGCTTAGACATAGAACTTAGAACGTATGCGTCTATGCTTTAATGGTACTGAAAATTCAATTTACGTTATATTAAGGTAGAATGTGCGTATATTGCTCTATAGAACACATACAATATGCAACTGTAATTATTAACAAACTTTTTTAAGGCTGGTGGGGGTAAATTTGTTTTATTTTTGGGATTTGACGATAAAGTTTTCACAAGCAATTAAGCATTTGAAATAATCAACAGATTAAATGGTGGAAGGGGTGGTGTGTCATAAATTAAATGAATCATCTATAGATAAGCCATAACTTGAATTTTCAATGCAACCCTTTGTCAAGAACACAGATAAGAAAATTCATAAAATTCATTAATTTGAAATATTATATTCATTTTTTCCCGAATATACTTTTATTTTTGTATGGTATTTATGTGCGATATTTACGTGATATTTAACAAACACTTCGTAATCAAGTAATAACGAAATATTTTGATATTTAAATAATGTGCGTTTCTCTGAACAGATTAATAAAAAATCAAATAATGAAGCATTTTAGGGAATATTGTCATTATTTAGCTTGTCGTAAGATTTGATAAAAACTTTTTAAAATAAACAGAAAATAATTCCATTTAAATAAAAATTATGCCTGTTTTGTTTTTACATTTAATTGAATCAAAGATTTTACACCCTTTTACAAATGTGCTTAAACGGTTTCATAAATGTTTATAGTTAACAAAATTGATGTGTATTATCTTAATTTTGTATGGCATGTCAAACGTTGCAATATTCGATAATCTTGTGATGTATATTCAAAATCTTGTGATGTATGTTCGAAATCTTGTGATGTATATTCAAAATCTTGTGATGTATGTTCGAAATCTTGTGATGTATATTCAAAATCTTGTGATGTATATTCAAAATCTTGTGATGTATGTTCAAAATCTTGTGATGTATATTCAATATCTTGTGATGTATATTCTTAAACTTGTGATGTATATTCTATAATCTTGTGATGTATGTTCGAAATCTTGTGATGTATATTCGAAATCTTGTGATGTATGTTTGATAATCTTGTGATGTATATTCGAAATCTTGTGATGTATGTTCGATATCTTGTGATGTATATTCGAAATCTTGTGATGTATATTCTATAATCTTGTGATGTATATTCAATATCTTGTGATGTATGTTCAAAATCTTGTGATGTATATTCAATATCTTGTGATGTATATTCGAAATCTTGTGTTGTATATTCTATAATCTTGTGATGTATGTTCGAAATCTTGTGATGTATATTCGAAATCTTGTGATGTATGTTTGATAATCTTATGATGTATATTCGAAATCTTGTGATGTATGTTCGATAATCTTGTGATGTATATTCGAAATCTTGTGATGTGTGTTCTACAATTCAGTGATGCGTGCAATAAAATTGCATGACGCAACAGAAAAGTAAGGACAATTTTCATTGGTTAGAAATAACGAAAGTAGCTGAAGCGTCGGGAAAACCATGCAGGTGAGAAAAAACACATCAGTTTGTTTATTGCAACACTAATTACGAGATGCACGAGTGTTGTTCCTGGTGACATGATGGAGATATTTCGGCCTGCTAGGGAAAAAACTCAGTATTAAAACGTAGATGTATTGACAAAATTTGTAGGTACTTGTAACGATATGTCACGATGCTGCATTGTCACTGTCAGATACAGTATTTATACACATGCATGCTAAAAAGTAAAATCTCGTAGTAATCAATATAGCAGAAGAATAATGAAGAGTACATACTACAAAAACTGTGCAATTTGTAGCAAGATTAATTTTTGTTTAACAGCTGTTTTTATGACATTTTATTTCGTATTATTACTACCAAATACTGCTACCGTTTGTTAATGTTTAATCCGAGATTCCTCTGACTCTAACCCCCGCTTTTATATTGTGACTTGTGCGCACAAGTCACAATATAAAAGCGGGGGTTAGAGTCAGAGGAATCTCGGATTAGTTAATGTTATGCACATGGTTATCTTGTACTTGCAAGTAAATGTAACATTAAAAAAAAAATAATGAAAAAATAAGTCATTTAGGCTATTTGATAATAACATGCTAAATGAACATGTTTTGCTTTTTAATTCTCCTTCACTCAGTCTTTGTATAATATACATTTATTGACTGAGTTCGAGGGCAACGACTGAGTTAGAACCTATTATGCGTTTTGTCAGACCCAAGAACCAAACAGTCTGCCTGAGGCCGTTAGGCCGAAGGCAGACAGTTTGGTTCGAGGGTCCGACAAAACGCATTTTGCCCGAGAACTCTGTCAATAAATGTTTTGTTATACCTTTCATTTTATTATATATTTTTTGACATACATGTATTTTGTACTATATTAATGTAACATTAGATCTGTCACTTTTTAAAACCAAAGAATGAAAATGAGATTAAGCTCCGCCCATTCTGTGACGTAAGTGGTCCAACATTTCTCCGAGCGGTCCAACATCTCACTCAGCGGTCCAACATCGATTTTTTATGCCCGCTCAGCAAAACATTAAAAATGTTAGACTTTTTTCTGTATAGATTTGTATAGGCACAATTTTTTAAAGGTATAACAATGTATATTTTTAGATGAGCTGATCGCCAACCAGGAGATCAGAATGATCGCATCTGCTCCTGCCACTTTAAGGATGGTAAGAAGGAGGGGGACCCTGCATATTTTGCATGGAATGAAGGAAAGGCCATGGATTTCTCCGATCCTGAATGTACAAAAAGGTGAAATTATTTTTCAAAATATGACCGACATCATATTTTGGATGGTGGGTGGGTGGAGTTTAATTGAGAATATTTTACTAAAAATCTTTAAAAGGGTACATGTAATTGTATAAACAGAGTAGCTTACAACTGAATAAAAAATAATTCAAGTTTAATTATTTTACAAAGGAGGAAAAAACTCAAAAGTGAGGAGTCCCTGTCATCTTCACAGATGGACCAGTTGCAGATTCCACAAGCACCAAATGTCAATATCAAGAAAAAGTAAAGCTCATTTAAAACATCAATGATGACAAATGACCAACACTGAAACATTTTCAATAATTTTTAATAATATATAAAGTTCTTTTAACTGTACATGATTTACAATATATTTTCAGTTGATATCAGAGCACAACTACTCAGCATCCTGCACATTTAACTGTACTCAAGAAATGCAGCGCCTCTCAACAGAAATACAACTGGAAAAGGAATTGCTTGCCCTAAAAATAGAGTCTAGTAAAAGGAAGCCAATATCAATCCACGATATTAAATACATGTACAACGAAGAGAAGGTACATTTAAAGGAATTCCAATTGTGATTTCCTATTTCCTAAAAATTTCAGTTACTGCAATAAAAACTTGTTGCCATTGAGGGATGAACATCTTAGATTGACTGTTATGTTAACATATTTTGTTATTATTTGGGAGTTTAGGTCTCTGATCAGCAGGGGCATTTTCTCTATATATTAAGAAGAAAATGGAGACTCCCTACCCACCCGATGTATTTTGTCGGACAGTTTTCTGTACATTGCAGGTAAAAATTTTATTTATTAACTTTCCAGCCTCTTATTGTAAAGTACATTTTGGGTTCAGTTTTAGCTTTTCTTTAATTTTTAAAAAAAAATATTTAAATTCTCCTTTTCTTAGAATGAAATTCAAAAAGTAGCTTCTGATTGTAATAAGACTACAGACATTGAACTTTGATTTGTTATCAAAAGGATTGATTTAAACTTGTCTAAATTAATTGTAAACAAAAATAAAAGGGGGCACCTGCTATTTCTTTAAGTGTTTTTCACTGGGGGGTGGGGAAACTTTTTTGTACATACTTAAGCAATAGGAGGGATTAGATAAGAATCAATTAGTATATCAGAGTCTTAAAAAATATACTTTGCATAAGCATAAAAAAATTCTATATCAGTCTTTTTAAAACCTTTGAATATTGCTTAATTAACTATGATTTATCCAATTTTGGAGCTTTTTACCTAATTCTGGGTAGAATCCACCCTTATGAAATTATTGACTCAATTTTGACTTAATATCACTTTATTAACATCAAAGCACAAAAACAATTCATTGTACAAATATTTTATTTATTACAGTCACCAATATATCCAAATATCATCACGGGCCCAGACGTCATTCACTCCTTTGAATTGTGCTGGTAGCAGTAAGGTGTCATCATTTGAGATGGTCACAGTATCCAATACACTGAAGTCACAGGACTCTAATTTCATACATGTTCACAGGTAGGTGTATAGTCTTTGAAATTACCACAATTGACTAATTCTGGGACAGGTAAGTATGTACATGTAAGTATAGGAATGAGAGCACCAAATCCCCGGATGCACACATGGCTTTGTTTGTTATGGAACATTAAACCGAATACTGAATGGGTAGGCGTTACGCCATTGGCTGAAATCAGGTATTTAATTGTTTTCATTTTAAAGTAAAATTAATGACCTTTGAAATAAATGATGGGATGAAGGAATATTACAGAAACTATAGAAATGCCAGGGAAGATTTTAGGAGTGGGGGTTAATTTTTTATGCCGCGTGTTATTTACTGCGAATCTCTATAAGTTGAAAATAACTGCAATTTTGACTTATAAACGCCATGGGACCATATATTTTTTTCAGTATTTTTTGTTAGGGCTTAGAACAAAGTTTGAAATGATGCTAAAGATTTATCTGAAATTGTCATAGTAAAGTACTGAGAGGGCCTAAGGTTTGTATGGAGTTCTGTGGGAAAATAATTAGTGGTCTTTTCCGTATACAAGATGCTGTCTGATGGCGTAGTGTAGAATGTAGCGTAGAATGTTTTCCAAGTCGGCTTAAATGCAAAGGTTTGTTTTAAAATTTATCATAATGACTTGCAAAAATTTAATGCAGTTAAATTTATTGTATTCTTGAAAGATTGACTGTAACACAATTTTTTTTACACAATTACAAATAATCAAATTAATTTTTTTCCAACTTTTTTTCAGGGTCTCTGCCAAAATCTTTTGAGGATTTTTCCTCTGCTAGAGCATCCATGGATGCAAATGAAACAACCCAGGACATCCCAACACATATGGATAATCAGGCCATGGCCTACAGTATGTACAAAAGTTGCCATACTTTTAAAGCAGTAACTTGCGTGCCTCCAAATGGTGCACTTACATTTTGCTCCATGCTGTACCCAGGTTCTACTTCTGATGTAGCTATTGTACGTCACAGCCAAGTTTTACGAAAGTTCAAAGCTGGAGACCTTATTTTGGTGGTCAAAGGTTTCACCATTCATGACCAGTTGCCCCAGGGTGTCTGCTTAATTATAAAAGCTCTTTTATCGACACGAGGCCAGTTTACCATACAAGAAGCAGCACTGTGTTACAAGATTGCTAAAGCACTTATTCATGTGGAAAGAGCCAACGAGAGGATAAAGAATTACGAGATTCTCCGTCACATACCATCTACTTACAGACCAATCTCAACAAAAATATTTCAACTCTGTTCTTGTCTTGTAAACTTGCAAGCTCCACTTTTGAAAGAAATTACTTAAAGATACATGTACTTATTATAAATTTGCATTGGCGTGTGACAGTATACACTAAACAGTGAAGATATTCATACCAAAGTGCAAGGGATAAGCAAATTTTGATTTGTTATTAATGTCAATGGTTATATTTGTTAACTTTGTAGTATGTTGTAATACATGTACTTCAGAAAATGAAAATCCCTTTTGTTTAGCATGGATTTATTACAAGAATGGTTGGCAATTCGATTCTTCATTTGACAATATAATTTGGAAGAGGGTTTACTTATAATTTTAAATTTCTAGTTTAAAGTATATTTACCTTTAAAGCACAACTCAACAAATTCATGTTTTCAACAATTTATCTATTAAGAAAGACAAAAATGTTACATTTTCACTTTGAGAATAACATCTTCAATTCATTAATAAAATGATTCTAAATTTTGATATTCTTTTTTTATGTGGTACATAGATTTTATTAATCATCATTGCTATTTAAAATAGTCTTATAAGCCAGAAGTTTTATGATGGATTGTGACATATCATATCATACATTTATGAGACTTAGGAACATTCAACACATTTAACATGATAACCCATTTTCCATTGTTAGAAAATTCTAGAGGTACAAAACTAAGTGTCAAGAAGTTCAAACCAGAACTCAGTTTTCCATCAGTGCTGGAATGAAAATGTTAATGTAGAAATCTATCAGCTTTGGAACATTTGCTGTCCATTCAATGTCTTTTACTATTCTAATCACAATGCAGTCTACTCTTGTCCACACAATTAAGTCGCAGAATGTTTTGTTACATATGTGTAGCTGGCCTTGAATTTGATGATAGTATGGGTGACTGGTTTTCAGGCACAGGGATATTGTTTAAGATCTAAAAAAAAAATCAAAAAACACTTAAGTTGTGTTATACCAGTACATATCCCCTCCTTTTTCAATATCTTCATACCATATTGAACAGCTGCACTTGTAAATTAATACATGTTTTGAAATCATTTACTCACCAAGATTTTTAATTTCAAAGTACTGGACAATACAGATTTTTAATGTTATTTACCTATGAAAAATCCTTCAAATTTTGTGCCCCATCTGCTACTGTTGAAGACGATGCTGTATATGGACACTTCACCTCTACAATATTAGGAATGGCGTCTTTGGCTTCTGGAGTTTGATAAAATACACTGCATGTTGGTGGTCGAACAACTAAGCCATCAGGTGAAGCTCCCAACACTCCGGATTCATGCAACCATATCCTTTTCAGAAAAAATTATAATACTACTAAATGCAAACAAACCATAATACAATTGATTTTGTAATGCAAACAAAGTCTAAGTAGAGCTTTTATAATCCTTCCACTTCAAAAAGCAAATTTTCTGGAATATGTTGGTAACTGAATATTTATGCCCCGCCATGAATATGGCCGGGGCATATAGTGTTTGTCATGTCCGTCTTCCGTCCTTCTGTCCTTCCGTCCCACTTTGTGTTTAGCTCTGTTCAAAGCTAAGTTTCAAAGAAACTATCCAAGATATTTTCATCAAACTTCATATGCTGATAGATATTGATGAGAGCTATGCAACTGCATTAACATTTTTTGACCTTGACCTGACTTTTCTTAAATAGTGTTTAGCTCAGTTTTAAACATACCATTCAAGATGGTGTTATCAAACTTTACATGTTGATACAAACTTGCATAGATGATGCATCTAGAGATGAACACTACTGGACATGCTTCGGATGCTGGATCTGACCTACATTTTCCAGATGAGTGACCAAATTAAAGTTTTTGGAGCAGGTCCATTCTTAAGGAACTATAAGCCCTACTTAGACCAAACTTGCTTGGATGATGCATCTAAGGATGGACACTACCGGACTTGCTTCGATGCTGGATCTGACTTACATTTTCATTCCCAAGTAACTATAAGCCCTACCTAAACCAAACTTGCATGGATGATGCAGCTAGGGATGGACACTACCAGACTTGCTTCGGATGCTGGATCTGACCTATATTTTCATTCCCAAGTAACTATAAACCCTACCTGAACCAAACTTGCGTGGATGATGCATCTAGGGATGGACACTACCAGACTTGCTTTGGATGCTGGACCTACATTTTTATTCCCAACTAACTATAAGCCCTGCCTGAACCAAACTGATCAAATTTTATACATGTACAAATTTCATGTTGCTTTACTAATATATCCTCGGCGGGGCATTCATGTCCTATGGACATATTTCTAGTTTTTTTTTTACAATTAGACTTCAGTAATTGATTTCTGTTTGTCACCAGGATAAGTCCTGTTATTTGTTTTGACACAATGAATGTTAACATGTCAGAGATTGAAGGAATATTATTTTGTGCTGTATACCTGACTGCTCTACAGCTGCATCTAAGTCCTTTTCATACTTTCTCAAAGCATCATCTTCATGAGTGATACCCCATGCAACAGCCTTGATGGACTCCAGATTGTAAGCCGACATCAGCTGTTTCTTCAGTGACAATGTCAATCTGGAGAAAAAAATATGATTTTTGGTTATTAATCTTATATTTCCTGCATCTTTATGTACAAATATCTAGTCATTACAGTCGAACCTCATTATCTCAAACTCAATGAGACCAAGAAAAATGTTGGAAATATCCATGGATTCAAGAATAACACATAAATAGTTATCAAGAATAAAATGTCCCAGTCTTTTATAAATGGTTTGGACTTCAAAATTACTGTGACATATCCATGAAATATGAGATAATGGGTTTGAGATAACAAAGTTTGACTGTAATTTTAAAAGTCTTTTTCGCAAAAATTTAATCAGACGTCTTACCGCCTTTGCTTAGAACTGAGAACTGCACCAAAGTTGGAAGCTGATATGCTATATTTCCTTACAATCGACCACATTGGGTTGTTTCGTTGCCAATGCAGCTCTTTTAATGGATTCAGGGATAATGCATGCTGTAACCATACCATAGGGGTATCAGAATGAACATACTCTGGTGATGTTAACAGGTCTTCAATGAGAGGTACAGGTGGACCAGGTTCACATGGCTCTGGTTCAAGAATCCAATTCAATGCTGAAAAATTTCATTACTTGTGTCATTCTCAAAAATATCATCCATAATATCCATATCACATATACCAAGTATTTATATAAGAGTCCATACATTTCATTTTAGTGAACACTGTCATGGGTTTTTGTAATGTATGCATTACATATCAAATTTACAACTCACTTGCATATATTTGTTCAGAATTGTTCCTGTATATAATTTTGCACAAACATGTAAAAATTGGTGCAAATGTACAATTAATATTTACTTAATTATTAACAAGGTTTCATAATGACAGAGTATTTAAATAATAGAAGAATGATCTGATAATTCGCAAGAATATGAAACAAAATTTTTTTTTAATGCAATTGAATAATTTATTTTTCCTTTCAAAAATGTATGCTCATGTACAAAAATGCTATCATATTTATAATATTGTCTTTCCAATTATTCAAAGGTTGTTATTAATATTTATGTCTCCCCTTTCGAAGGGGAGACATATTGTTTTTGTCGATTTTCTTATTCTTCTTCTTATTATTCTTCTTCTTCATCCAAATTTTGTCCAGGCCGTAACTTGAATACCCTTTGACCTGAAGACTTCATACTTGGAACTTAGATAGATGACCTTAAGGCGGAGTGTCCGCCACCAAAATTTTTGACCTTGATCTATATATAAGGTCAAGGTCAAACTTTTACATTAAAATAGAGTTTTGGCAATAGCTTGAGTACCCTTTAATATTAGGACTTCAAACTTAAAATATAGAAAGAAGACATTAAATACAAGATGTAGTGCACCTAAACTTTGACCTTGACCCCTTTCTATGTTCAAGGTCAAATAGAGAAAAAACATGATTTTAACATAACTTTAAATACCTTTGACATTTAGACTTCAAACTTGGAATATGCAGAAGATACATAGGAGAAAGGTGTATGTGATCAAAATTTTTGACCTTGATCCAATGTTTATAGGGTCAAGGTCAAACTTTCACAACAAAATAGAGTTTAGGCCATAGCTTGAATGCCATTTGATATTAAGACTTCAAACTTAAAACATAGAAGGGAGACATTAAATACATGATGCAGTGCACAAGAACTTTGACCTTGACCCTTTTTTTGTTCAAGGTCAAATATAGAAAAACATGATTTGACCACTACTTGAGATATCTTTGAGATTTAGAATTCAAACTGGGAACATGCAGAGGACACATTGGAGAAAGTTTATGTGATCATATTATATGACCTTGATCCAATATTATTAGGTCAAGGTCAAATTTTCACATCTAAATAGATTTTAGGTCATAGCTTGAGTACCCTATGATATTAGGACTTCAAACATGTAACATAGAAAGAAGACATTAAAAACAAGATCTAGTGCACAAGGACTTTGACCTTGACCCAAGGTCAAATAGAGAAAAAAAAAACATGTTTTGAACATAACTTGAGAATCTTTTGACATTTAGACTTCAAACTTGTAACATGCAGAGGACACTAAGATGGAGAGATTATGTGATGAAAATTTTTGACCTTGATCCAATTATTATTAGGTCAAGGTCAAACATTCATATGAAATATATTTGAATTGATAACTTGATACCTTTCTTGACATTAGGATTGTTATTTGGAACAAGTAAAGACAACTTTAAGCTTAAATACACTACATCAATTTTTTTTACCTTGACCATTTTCTTCATTTAAGAAGCAAAAGAAAAAAGCAAGACCAGACAATAACTTTAGATCCTATAAAAGACTTGAAAGATGCACTGCATTATTCTTTTTCACCTTCATAGTAAAACTGCATTTGTTAATGTTGTTAAAGAAGGGGAGACATGTGTTTTTTGTTAAAAAAACAATACCCACTAGTTATTACATAATATGTTCAAAAATTGGGCAATATACATAGCCAACTATATTATACTCCTCATCTTTGTACATTTGTTCACAATTAAAATTAACCATCGTTCAGTAACAAAATAACAGTTTCATAATACTCGTAATATAAAAATCAAATCAAACTTAAATAACAACAATAGTGACACCAAAATCATAACTTCCTTCTTATATTTTACCAATAAACCTTCCAAGGTGCAAAAAACACTGGTCACTTTCATCAAAGGGTCGGTTTAAAGCACTTCAAATATGAAGCAAATTTTTTAACAACTGATTTATTTATATTTAATGATTGATCATTTTTAAAAAAAAAAAAAAAAAAAAAACCAAGAGGCCCATGGGCCACATCGCTCACCTGAGCACTGTGGCTAGGAAAAAGTAAAAATTGGTTTTTTATTGAAAAGTTTAAATCCAAAAGTAGTCCCTTGACCAATCATGGCTTTGCTTTTCTTGAGAAGGTTATTTTTAAAGAATTTTCCTATATATTTCTATATAAAATTTGATCATCCTTTGTGGCCCCGTCCTACCCCCGGGGAACATGACTTGAACAAACTTGAATCTACACTACCTAAGGATGCTTCCATATAAATATGATCAATCAGGGTTTTGCTGTTCTTGAGAAGAAGATTTTTAAAGATTTTTCCTTTATATTTCTATGTAAAACTTTGATCTTCCATTGTGGCCCCGCCCTACCCCGGGGGTTATGATTTGAACAAACTTGAATTGACACTACCTGAGGATGCTTCCATATAAATAGGATCAATTATGGCTTTGTCATTCTTGAGAAGAAGATTTTTAAAGAATTTTCCTATATATTTTTATGTTAAACTTTGGTCAGCCATTGTGGCTCCGCCCTACCCCCGGGGGTCATGATTTGCACAAATTTAAATCTACACTACCTGAGAATGTTTCTCCATAAGTTTCATTTTTCCTAGCACAGTGGTTCTTGAAAACAAGATTTTTAAAACATACCATCAAATTTTCATTAATTCCCAATTATCTCCCCTTGAATGAGGGTGTGGCCCTTTATTTGAACAAACTTGAATCCCCTTCACCCAAGGATGCTTTGTGGCAAGTTTGGTTGAAATTGGTCAATGGGTTCTAGAGAAGAAGTCGAAAATATGAAAAGTTTACAGACAGACAGATGGACAGACAGACAGACAGACAGACAAACAGCTAGATAGACAAAATGTGATCAGAAAAGAGCTAGAAATGAAACATTCCTCACCACAAAAGCCAGAAGAATATAGGGACCACCACCAGTAACATGTTTCTGGGAAGAACCAAACCATGCAGAGATAAATATCAATAGTCCTGAATCTTCGATGCAGGACCAAGTACGAGAATTGCTACAAACACTACTCCGGAGACTTACCTATTATTCTATGATGTAACGTACTTTGTCCACTGCAGCTGGTTCCCTCATAAGCTGGTAGCGAGGACAGTTCAGGATGTCCTGTCAACTTTATTCCTCAACTTCCTGTCTTGGACTGAAAAGCAATAAGTGGAAATCTTTAGTGTTGCCTAGTGACTTTGAATTAAAAAGAAAGTTTTTAGATTGTGAAGGGGGGGGGGGGGGGGTACTGATGTTGTGCATTTTAATTAAATGTACGAAATCTGTATTTCACAGTTTAATGCATTCATGTATTTTGTGAATTGTCTTAGGATTCATGTAATAATTGTTGCTATGTATTATTAAGCACTAAATCTATTCAACTGCATGTGTAAATGGGGAAAATGTGGATAATGTAAATGATGTATAATTGCAATGTGTAAAATGTGACATTTTCTTATATGAGGGAGTCTGTTCATGTAATTTTTTTTTCATTAATTATTTTATTTATCTTGATAAAATTATTTCAATTAACAATATTGTTTTTCTTACCAGTCTGATGAACTCAACAAAGGTTACAGAGGTGAATGGTAGAAATATGGGTATTACAGGTGTCAAAACTCTTCGTTGATGACAGACTGCATGCCGCACTGTAAAATCACCATTTTGGATCTTTAAAAGGGGAGGCTACTCCTGAAATCAAAGAAATTGTCATAAAAATGAGTAACCTGATTTTCTTTAGGTCTCACACAAGGAAATAATTTCACTATATGTTACTATATAGCTTTAATTAAATAAATTAATTAACTAGACTCTCAGCAGATAATTCATGAATGAGAAAAAAGATTAATGCTTAGACAAAATTTGAGATCAGAAAAAATATACCCCTTATGCAGCTTTTAAGAAAGAAAATTGAGACTAAACATACCTATACCCCGAAATACACATGGGCAAACAGCCAACACACCATCAAGGAAGTTACATCGATCATGCGTACCTAAAAAAAAAAGAGTTCCCTTTGATTCAGTGGCACAATTCTGCTGATATGATATTCCTAGTGCATGAGTCCAACATTAAAACTGTAGACCTACGTAAAGTTCATGAAAAAAGAAAAGAAATATTATTGTCTCTATATACATCATACATAGAACTACATTTGTTCATTTTGATTGGCTATCTCCTTGCATAAGACCTTTAAGGGGTAATTTTATGATATTTACCATGTGCACTGATTGCCATAAAACTAAAGAAAAAATACCAGCCTTACAAAGTCACTTAACCATGACCTTTGACATACCTTTAAGAATACCCTGGACAATTTGGTTTAACTTAAGACTTCTGAATTTTTAAATGCAGGTTTTGATAAATTAACCATTTAATATACTTATGAGCTCATAAAACTGTCCTTTAAAACTGTATGATAAAGAGTGTAAAAACTTTGAAACATGTTTGGAAAGTATTATCACACATGTGATATGGGATAAATTATCACCACAGAAAGATCAAAGAAAATCACTGCAGATATGCGACAATAATTCTTATCATTGTTTATTGTATGTCAAGTCTAGAATATGATATATCATTACAAATATTATGATTTTTAGCCGGGCACATTGCTCGTAGAGCAATGCTCAGCTATAGCGACGGTGAGCAACAGAAAATGCTGCTTCTTCACCGCCAAATTGAGTTTACGAGTAAAAGTATGGTACGTGACCAGCCGCTGTTGAGAAAACAAAATCACCTTAAGAAATAGTAAATTGAATATTTTTATCATAATATTAAATTGTTTAATATTTTTTCCTGGCTCCTTTGACTAATATTTTACAAAGTAATTCAACGGGTGCGAAAGGTTTTCACCAGGTATCCCTGTCTGCATCATATTCTATAAACAATATAATTAAAATTAGATTGTAGATCGGCTCGCATATTCAACACATTAACATCTAACAAGTCATCCCAAATGACCCATTGAGGGTCACGTAAGAGGTTAAATTCGGAACGCCTCAAGATTTATTTGCTTCAACAATATATGATGATTTTGCCAGCTGCGATTTGATTAATTGATAGAATTTGACCTCTGACGTGACCCTCAACGGGATGTTGTTAGATGTTAGTGTAGCGAGTATGCAAGCGGATCTAACATCTAATTTGAATTAGATTGATTCTATAAATAAAGGTTGTACTATCAGGCTAAAACAAATGCAGGGAACATCATTAATGACTTGATGCAAATCTCACCGCTGAGGACACATCAGTGCAGAGACGTTTGACCTTAATCTTGCTGCATCAGTGTTTATTTACTTCTGTTTGTATATAAAACCGGATTACCCCAAAACGATACGTGATAAATATTTTTCGCTATTAATTTCTAGCTATATTTTATTTTATTTTTAAAACTATTTAATATTATACATGCCATTGAGATATTTTTGTGTGTATTACATATTCTCTAAACGTCTGAACGTGATTTTAAACTGTCACCACAGTCCTTGTTCATTATCCTGTAAATGAGCCCGGCTCAATACATTTACTATGAAAATAATTGGACAAATTTGTGAATGCAATGATGCATAGCAATTAATCTTTTCCTGACATTCACCTTCTCCTAAAAATTTGTCGTGTTATTTATTTATTTATTGCAAAGTCGTCCCTGGACTAGTGCTACGGTCAATGCAGCTGCATTGGGCCATGCAATTTCGAACCCTGCGTGGTGAGAGTTTGTCCCGAGACACAGTTAGATTATTCTAACTAGCACCAATATAGAATAAATCATACCGATTAATCAACATCACTACAATATGAGGACGTAAAAATAGGATAAAACATCCTTTAGTCCAGCAATAACTGAATAAGCCACTAAATTGTTTTTGATGTACCTTCAAACAAATCAAATTAATGTTCTTGATTCCCACTTTTCACGTTATGACTGACTTAGTGCTTCTTGATACCAAAACAATTTTTCTATTACCTATAATTTTGACTTTAGGTTGAATTCGCCAATTTCATGCTTGCGAAGTTGTGTCAATGTGTGCATTACGACGCTCCGGCTACTTTCGTTATTTCTAACCAATGAAAATTGTCCTTACTTTTCTGTTGCGTCATGCAATTTTATTGCACGTGTAATGGTTAGGGGCGTGGATATCGGCCTGGATAGCTCAGTAGGTAGAGCACCTGACTAGTGATATAGGGGTCCCGGGTTCGATTCCCGGTCCTGCCACGCATCACTGAATTGTAGAACACACATCACAAGATTTCGAATATACATCACAAGATTATCGAACATACATCACAAGATTTCGAATATACATCACAAGATTTCGAACATACATCACAAGATTATAGAATATACATCACAAGATTTCGAATATACATCACAAGATATTGAATATACATCACAAGATTTCGAATATACATCACAAGATTATTGAACATACATCACAAGATTTCGAATATACATCACAAGATTTCGAACATACATCACAAGATTATAGAATATACATCACAAGATTTCGAATATACATCACAAGATATTGAATATACATCACAAGATTTTGAACATACATCACAAGATTTTGAATATACATCACAAGATTTCGAATATACATCACAAGATTTCGAACATACATCACAAGATTATAGAATATACATCACAAGATTTCGAATATACATCACAAGATTATAGAATATACATCACAAGATTTTGAACATACATCACAAGATTTCGAATATACATCACAAGATTTCGAACATACATCACAAGATTATAGAATATACATCACAAGATTTCGAATATACATCACAAGATATTGAATATACATCACAAGATTTTGAACATACATCACAAGATATTGAATATACATCACAAGATTTCGAATATACATCACAAGATTTCGAACATACATCACAAGATTATAGAATATACATCACAAGATTTCGAATATACATCACAAGATATTGAATATACATCACAAGATTTCGAACATACATCACAAGATTATAGAATATACATCACAAGTTTTAGAATATACATCACAAGATATTGAATATACATCACAAGATTTTGAACATACATCACAAGATTTTGAATATACATCACAAGATTTCGAACATACATCACAAGATTTTGAATATACATCACAAGATTTCGAACATACATCACAAGATTTTGAATATACATCACAAGATTTCGAACATACATCACAAGATTTTGAATATACATCACAAGATTTTGAATATACATCACAAGATTTCGAACATACATCACAAGATTTTGAATATACATCACAAGATTTCGAACATACATCACAAGATATTGAATATACATCACAAGATTATAGAATATACATCACAAGATTTCGAACATACATCACAAGATTATAGAATATACATCACAAGTTTTAGAATATACATCACAAGATATTGAATATACATCACAAGATTTTGAACATACATCACAAGATTTTGAATATACATCACAAGATTTCGAACATACATCACAAGATTTTGAATATACATCACAAGATTTCGAACATACATCACAAGATTTTGAATATACATCACAAGATTTCGAACATACATCACAAGATTTTGAATATACATCACAAGATTTTGAATATACATCACAAGATTTCGAACATACATCACAAGATTTTGAATATACATCACAAGATTTCGAACATACATCACAAGATTTTGAATATACATCACAAGATTATCAAATATTGCAACGTTTGACATGCCATATATAATTTTTTGTCCTTTCTGTCGGTCTGTTTTTCCTGTTTGTCTGCAAACTTAAACCTTCGCCAAAACTTTTGAACCATGAATGAAAGAGACTTTATATTTGGTATGTATACTTCACTTATTAAGCTCTTTCCAATGACACCAAGTTCAATGACCGTGTGACCTTGACTGTGAGCTATATGCTAAATCTAGCTTTTTTGTCGGCAAACTTTAACCTTCGCCATAACTTTTGAACGAAGAAAGACAGAGACTTAATATTTGACATGCATATTCCACAAATCAAGCCCTTTCACATGACACCAAGGTCAATGACCTTGTAAACTTGTGTCCTATATGCTAAAAATATCGTTTTTGAACCTTCACCATAACTTTTGGACCATGAGAGATAGAGACCTCATATTTGGTATGCATACTTTACTAAAAATACAGTTCTTTCAAATGACACCAATATCAATGACCTATTATGATATACATGTATCACTGTTTAATTATAAAGAAACTGGTATTACCATTTATTTGACATTCTCATTTCATATTTATGACAATATGACAACAATTACATTACACATAATTATGTGATATTTATTCATGAAGGTGTTCTTAATAGTTGAATGGTCAATTTATAGCAACTCTAAATGTAAATTATACATTGTATTATCGATAAGGAGCTATTATTTCATAACGAATTGCAAATAAAACGGTATAACATGTATTAATATCTCATACGATAACCTTAAAACCTAAGTAACAGAATTGACCGGGAAATACCAGGAAATACTAAAAAAAGACTCTAACCTAAGATAAACTGGGAAATACAAAATAATTTTTTTTAATTCACTTAATCTTATAAAAAGCTTACAAGTAAAATAAAAATATATAAATGCAAAAGATAAATAAAACTGAGTTTGTCTAAAACTTCATTTTCTAATATTCATAATATATCACTACTCCAGGCCCCTTTCTCGTAAACATTACGCAGCAGAACATGTTACCCCTATTGTATTTCAAGAACAATGCCCCTTCCCCGTAAACATTACGCAGCAGAACATGTTACCTTTATTGTATTTCAAGAACAAAAATAAAGTTTTTGATTAACGTTTCATTTCAATGATATAAAATTATTATATCTATTAAGGACAGTTGATACAAACAATAAATGGATGCCTGGATTGGTATATATTTAATGACTTTTTTTCATTGCAATGAGGCAAATAATAAATTTCTAGAATATAAAGAAATTGTAAACCTTCTGTGATGTTCAAAATTCTACCCTTATGAAACCATCCTTATTATTCTATACAAATATTTTTCACTTCAAATTACATTTTTGTGAAACTTTGAATAACAAAATTAAAAACTACGCGGTGAAAGTTATTTATTTTGTTCATTTAAACATGACCCAAGTTGTTATTTTCAAAATTTTTGACAAAAGTTTGTATCATCTGTCCTTAATTATAAATCCAAACATAATGAATTGTTTTAATCCATCTATATTATTATGTTATAACAAGAAGTCATTTTAAAAAAATGGACGGTTTTGAGTTCTTTTTTGAACTATAATTACCTTGATAGGTCTGAAAAGCTTCTCCTTTGGTTTTGATATTTATACTATATTCTACACTTAATCCCTAGATCCTTCTCAAGGTACGTTAAAATAGTCTAAATGGGATCTTTAAGTTTATTTTTTGTTCTTTATATAGAATATCTGACCCGGGCATAAAGAAATAATAGTGGAATCTCAGTAAACTGTGCTGGGTTTATTATTATTTTTAATTCTAGGATTAACCAGATTTTTTAATCAAAAACAATTATACCAGGTGTTAATCTTATCCTTTAATGTTTTACAGGTCTATACCCAACCAAATATGATAAAATTTATAGTTATGTCTTGCTCTCTCCTATTTCCCAGAAAATATCGGTATATTCGAAAAAATCACTGTTATTTAAAGGGTTTAAATAGTTTGTCAACTGTTTCAAGTCATTTTTTGCGTTTTCTTTCGAATTATTTTGAAATCAATATCTGTCTATAATCTGAATTCCTTTTTTCCTGTATTCTAAAAGTCAATCATGGTTTTAACAAGCAAACATAAAGACAGTATACTATAACCTATAACCAGAAAGTTCCCTCCTTTCAAAAGTGAAGAATTGGTTTCATAAGTTGTTTTCATGAACTCCGTTGTGGTTTCTATTGTGTCGCTCTCTGTCCCGGAGATCTTTGTGAGTATAGTGGTCAAATCGGGACAGGTCAAGTTTGCAGCGGATAGACTGACCAATGACGTTCCCTTCAAGTTCTCAGGAGTGAAGCAACGTGGAACTCCAGATACGGTGACACGTCCAGATTTTTGGAAATCGATCAGGCCTATTAACTCGCAATCGCAGTGAAAAGGATTATCATATATTTTCCTGGATAAAATAAAAAAAAAAAACAACATGCATTTGAATTCCTGAATATTATTCAACTTTTAAAAGAAAAATGGTGAACAATACTTTACATATATACTCAACAAAAAAAGGAACGCAGAATTTTAACTCATCAAAGAAAGAACGAGTGCACTAATGGGCCCCGGTAAAATGTGAAAAAATAAACAATCGAATTAAGCAAAATTTTTCATCCCAAATCATTAATTGATATCTAAACCGTACGATGAAACAAATTTTACTGCTGAAATCCACGAATATACAAAAAACATACCATAGAATGTGACATGGGTCAGCCGACATTTGTGATTTTCTATATTAACGGTCAATCATTTCAAATCTTTTGTTTACTATGAGCCTAGCCTTGTACAAACTTGTGCGAATGACAAAAGACACATAATACATTTATAAAACTTGTGTGAAAGTAGGAAATTTGCACACGATTAGGATGGTACTTGAAATATTAAAAATGTACAAAAAGTACAATGTTTTTCCTAGAGCAAGTGAGATCTATTTACCTGTATGACCCATGCTGAACCCACGTGTGGAATAAATTATTCAAAATACTTATAGTCACGTGAGTTCTACCCAGGTAAACATTCCTCACTGCAAAACATCGGCAGGTTTTGTATCATTTAGTCAAAGTCACGCCGCTTAGAAATATTTGTAACTATGTATTTGTTTTCACGAACACGGGAGGGTAAGGAGAGTGTAGTGCCATTCATAAAAGTGTCAAACATTTTTAACATTCATGCTAGACAATGAAACAGGTATTGAAAGCCACGTAATACTCCTTATTAGTTTCAAATTCAATGAAACTATTATT